AGTTCGCCGTTTTCGCACCGGAAATCTGTTTCGTCTTCTTCTTCGAGTCAATCGCCGAGTTCTTTCACGAACGGGAAGATGATTCCACGATCTTGTTCGAGTTCAGCATCTTCGCATTATGGAATGAGCAGTGGATTTGGTTCTAGATCGATGGTTAATGGTGGTGGTTATGGTGATTGCTCACCGGTAGGGTTTATTTCCGATGATTTGATGTCTGAGCCTGTGGATGAGCCGAGGAACGGGGATAGCATTTCTGTGACGATTCGTTTTCGGCCTTTGAGGTAAGTGGAGAGATAGGAGAGTGTTGGATCAGATCCGCGATTGATTTTAGTGTTGGTGTTTTTACGATTGATTGAGTTTGGGTCTGGGGCTTATGCTTGCAGCGAGAGGGAGTTCCTGAAAGGGGATGAGATTGCTTGGTATGCGGACGGGGACAAGATCGTACGCAATGAGTATAATCCAGCCACGGCCTATGGATTTGGTACCCATTTTTGAATTTGTAGATTTCGAATTTGAACGTGTGCTAGTGTGGTTATGGTTATGTGTGAGGGTAGGAATGTTATTTTGGATTAACGTGGCTGCAATGTATGGGTTTTCGTGTTTATAACATATCGAGGGCGGTGTATCTCTGTGGCAGATAAGGTGTTTGGACCAGATACGATTTCACCGGAGGTGTATGAAGTTGCGGCTAAACCAGTCGTTAAGGCAGCTATGGAGGGTGTTCATGGTGCGAAACGCTTCCTAGAGTCCACCCAGCTAGACATTCTTTGAATTAAACAACATAATAACTTGTAGAGTCGTTAAAGTTTCCATATAAGATGTTGAAAGAAGGATCTTAGCTGCTGTGTTTTGATATGCAGGAACTGTATTTGCTTACGGTGTGACAAGCAGTGGGAAGACACACACTATGCATGTATGTATGATGCTTTAATGTTTTGCCTACTCGTGTAATCTTATTGAGAGTCTTAATTATTAAATCTGATTTGCTTAACCCATCAATCACTTACGAGTCTGTTAATTGCATTTATTGTGTTTAGTAACCATGGACTGTTTAATGAAAACCAGATTCTAAGAATTCAGCTTGTTCTAACTACCACTAACAGCTTTGTTAACCGTCAATATTCGTGTCCTTATAAGAGCCCGCCCCGTTAAAAGTTTGAATAATTATGTGTTCTTGTGAGTATCAAACCAGATTCTAAGAATTCAGCTTGTTCTAACTACCACTAACAGCTTTGTTAACCGTCAATATTCGTGTCCTTATAAGAGCCCGCCCCGTTAAAAGTTTGAATAATTATGTGTTCTTGTGAGTATCTTTGCAAACTCTACTTCTTGAATTTGACTTTGGATATTCTTCATCAAGTTGGGTTTTTCCTCATTTTTCTTCTCTACATTTATAGCCCTACATTGCTTTTTGATGAATTGTGGCATGCTAGAAACTTCACATACTTGACCGTGTTGGGATGGATTTTTCCATACTGAAGTGGACAGAGGGATACAAGCTCTTATTTTCTTGCTGAATCAACTTTAGCATTTGATTTTTTAGCCTCCTAGTTTTTGGTCTTCTGCTGTTAATTTATCATTGTTGGTTAGCCTTTAGGGTCAATGACACATACATGGGGTTTTCTTTTTTACATATTCAGCTGGAAACTACATTTATATTGAATAATAATGAATCAAGGAACAAGTGCCAATAGTTTATTTATTTTTTCAATCAAGCTATATCCATTTCATTTTGGAACTATAGGTTGATTTGCAGTGAGTGATGAGTTTGGTTGAGAGACACAAGCTAATTTTCCTGATGCCAATATGACATTGTTATGAGATGATTCAATAATTTACTCTTCCTCTACTTTATATTTGCTTTTTCTACCATGATATTTTCCACAGTGTTTTATCTTTTTTATACTTTTCTACCTCCCCCAATTATAGCTTTGCAAACCCTATATTTCATGCATGAGTAATGTTAGTGATTTGCTTGAATAAATAATTCACAGGGAGATCAAAACTCTCCAGGGATCATACCACTGGCTATAAAAGATGTCTTCAGCATCATCCAAGATGTAAGTGTCCCGGCATAATTTTAAAGTGAGATATTGAAAAAGTATTCTCTAGTTCTTTGCCTTGTTGATGCTTCTTAATTAGAACTCATAACATGTAGCAGCATTTAGTACTATCATTACACAACTAACAATGGTTCTCTTTGCCACAAATTTGATTCCTGAATAGTTTATAATAATTATTGAATTGAGTTAAATAAAATTTGAGACCAGATATGTTTGGTTAATGAACGTGCAAAATTACTGCATGAACTAACGTTATTTAAGTTAAGATCAAATAATTTGTTAAATTGTTGATTTTTCTTTTGTTGGTATTTGATGAGCTAAATTGTCTGTCAGGTTCATCCATGATTTATTTAATGGTTATCGAATACATACAACCATCTAATTTTTTGAGGACATTACATCACAAATTTGTGGTGAATACTCGAACCTACAGCCTCTTTAAAGAGGTAAAAATACTTTTAAAATTTAATAAATACATATTATTATATAACATTGAATAATTATTAATATTTGTGAAGGGATTTTTGCTATTCATGAACTATGAAGAAAAGACTGCTACATATTAAAAAAAAAAAATTGCACGACTTTTGCTTTACTGTAATTAGCCTTTCCTTTATTAGCATATTTTTCTTCCTAGCTTCTGCATGTTATCAAATTATTTTTATTTGTTGCAAAATTTTAAATCCTGTTTTTTATTTATTTTTCCGAGTATTTGACCATATAGATGAGTGTGTTTTTCTGTGTAGACTCCTGGAAGAGAATTCTTGCTCCGTGTATCGTACCTTGAAATATACAACGAAGTAAGTAATTCTGTACAGAGAGTTCTCAAGCTTCAGTGTCGACCATATCTAAATTGTTATTTAGTTTTTGAGTTCAATTGGTGGTTGTAAATCTAGTTTATGGCTTGTTTTTGTATGAAAGGAATATAGTTTTTGGCATCTAAACAATCAGGGGAAAACTGCTAAACAGTACATTCCAAATCTTCTTAGACTCATGATCATATTTGCTTTCTTGATACACAGGTGATAAATGACTTGCTGGATCCAACAGGTCAGAATTTGCGTGTTAGGGAAGATGCACAGGTGCTTAATTTGTCCTTGTAATCATCACACTGTAAACTGCTTTTGTTTTGGTCTAATTGTATATTTGATGCTGCTATCGTCAATTAGGGCACTTATGTTGAGGGTATAAAGGAAGAAGTGGTTTTGTCTCCTGGACATGCTTTATCATTTATAGCCGCTGGAGAAGGTATTTACTGAGCACTTCTGCTTCGGTGCCATTTCTCTTCTCATTTTATGTGCATAAGTGATTTATGGCTAAAGGTCTTAAATGGCAGAGCATCGTCACGTTGGATCAAACAATTTCAATCTTTTTAGTAGCCGGAGTCACACCATCTTTACGCTGGTAAAACTAAACATTTCCTTGCTGGTGGAGCATCCAATTGCTTGCTCTTTAGTTCATTTCTTGGCTATGGTTTTATTTTCTATATCAGAATGAGGTTTGTTTTCCATGATATAAACTGCTTGCTGCAATCCAGGTGTCGCCTCTTTATGTTACCACTTAGAAACTTGTTGGAAGTGCATTTAAAAACACGAAACTGACAAACTTGTCCCTGCAGTGCTAGCTCTATGTGAAATTTGGGTCCCTTCCCCCCACTTAAAAAAATTATTTGTTTGCTAGAAACAATTAGTTGAGGAATTCCAAGTTCAAGATTATTCACAAATGGATGGAGTGATATGTACATAAATACATATATCATGGACCCAGATATGGTTTCTTCATGTGTATGTGATCAATACATAAATACATTCATAGAAACATAAAAATTTGCATACCCAAACCAAGTACATAAATTCAAATAGACACCTACACACGTAGGTGCAAGTGTGCATGCTTATCAGGTTATGATAAGTTCTGGTGTGTATGCTTATCAGATTTGTGGTTGCTTTCATCCTCTTGTGCATTCTTTTCCATTTTCGGCCTCTCTAAACTAAGGGTGCTTTTGCAGATGATTGAAAGTAGTGCACGTGGTGATGAGTATGACGGTGTCATCTTCTCTCAACTTGTAAGAACGGGCCTTCTTCATTCTGATATGTGGTTCTGTTGAACTTTAATGTGTCATTCTCATTAATATTAACTCCATGCTACAGAACTTGATAGATTTAGCTGGGTCGGAGAGCTCAAAGACCGAAACTACTGGACTGAGGA